TCACCCTTTGCGGGGCTTGCCGGGGGCCTGCTGTCCGCTCCCCGCCTCAGCCCCAGTATCGGGTTTTGACCGGTTTATGGGACTCTTCGCTGAGGTTTTCGACCTGCTTGAAACCCCTGGCTCTGCGGAGGGTTTCCAGCCCTCCGGTTAATGAACGGTGTGTAGCAGGAACTCCTCAATATGAACGTGAAAGAGCTTGTCTGGCCTAGCTTTGGTCAGCTGTGTGCTCAGCAGCCTGCGTTCTGGAGGTCTGCCCTGCAGAGGGGAGCTGCTGCTTAGCATGATAGCCGTTTTTCTTTTAGGCAGCTTTATTGACTTTGACAAGGAACCGAGGTGCCGCCACCTATGCCCAGACACTCCATAATATCCCTGAGACCCAAGTCACCACTCTGGACAATGGTCTCCGTGTAGCTTCAGAGGAGTCCAATCAGCCAACATGTACGGTAAGGTTAAGATAGATTGAGGGCATACTTGAAACAGTCAGCCTTGCCTTTGGAAGACCAGTCTGCAGCTGGTCTTCCAAAAGTGACAAACCCCTATTTGAACCGAATCTTTTGACAGAGACCCTGCTACTTCTTTTTGTTAATTGGTGGGATTAATGTAGCAGTAGAAGGCCTAGCCTGGCTTTGTATAAGTCTGTAGTCGAGCTTTTGCGCTCTACGAGTTTTCTCAGCCTTACAGTTTTTGTGTAAGCATTAAGTGGCCAGTAGTAGTTATATCTCTGGCAAAACTAGCAAAGGCTTTTGCAGAGCTGCTAGACAAAAAGTCAAAATGTGTACGGGAAACAGTTGCTGGTGCTTGTTCTTATTTTGGTGCTACTAGTGCAATGTCTGTGGAGGAGACTTCTTGTCCCTGCTGTTATATTTGTGGCATGAGGCTTGAGCATGCTGTTTGTTTTCTTTTCTAATATGTGTACTTGATGCTTTTGCTGTTAGGTGGGTGTGTGGATTGGGGTAGGGAGCCGCCATGAAGACGAGAAGAACAACGGGGCTGGTTACTTCCTGGAACATCTGGCCTTTAAGGTAAGGAGGTATGCTAGGTCTGGCACAGGACTGCGTGGAGAGCTGTTCTAAATATTTGCTTATATATTGTGCTTTCGCTTCAGAGGCTGTAGCTGATAAAAGAGAGTGCAAACTGGGTCATCTGAGTCCCAGAGACTTTGCACATAGTATAAAAATAAACTTCAAAAGGCACCTAGCCTTTATGGTGCTCTTTGTTTGAATATGTGGCAACTTGCAAGCATGCGTGAATTAAGGCAACTCTTATTTACTAGTTGGTATTTTCCTTCTTAAAGGAAAAAAAGTTTTAAGTTACAAGTGAGACTGAGTCTGATGCTGTGGTTCCAATCCCTGACCATTGCAGCCACTGTGTAGTGCACATATAGGACTATGTTATGAAGCATGTTTCTTCGGGTTAGCAGGCAGAGCTCAAAGCAGCGTTTCCTGTAGCCATTTATTTTTCTTTAGTTTTCTTAGCGGACCAGCAAAATTTAGAGGCTACAGCTCTTACTTTTCTAATAGTGTAAGTGTCTGCTGAACAGCCCTAAGGCAGAAGGCATCTAAGCCTGGAGCTTGCTGACTCGAGTCCAGCCTGTGCCATCATAGGCAACTGCAGCATCTGGCTTGTTCCTTAAGAGATGAGCTCTGTATTAGAAAGTAGTTTTCTGCTCCTATTCTGGCTTCTTCTGAATATTGCTGCTTGGCTAGCTAGAAACCTGCTTACTTTTGGTTTAGGCTTGTTCTTGGTTCACTTCCACTGATGTGATCTTCAGCCGCTGTTGTCTCTTAGTGTAGGTCTTCTCCTTCCCTGCTGGGTTTTTACTGGTCTTTCCAAATATGCTTCGACCGTCCTTTAGCTAGAGTAAATAAGCCAAGTTTTAAATCTCTTGTTTTCTGCACTTGCTCTTGGCTTTTATGAATTACGTGACAGGTTTTATTGTTTTAGGTCCTTATTGCTCTTTTCCTTGCTTTAGTTCTGCCCGAGAGGGAAATCTGTTCATTTCATAATTGTGTTTATCTTTTTTCTTTAGGGCACAAAGAAGCGTCCTTGCGCTGCCTTTGAGAAGGAGGTGGAGAGTATGGGTGCTCACCTGAATGGGTACACCTCACGGGAGCAGACTGCCTATTACATAAAAGCCTTGTCCAAGGACATGCCCAAAGGTAGGATGGCCAGCAGGCAAAGTCTGATTCAGAGGTTAAGGATGAAGCAAGTGCATGTGCTTGTGTTTCTCCCACCAGCATCCTTTCTAACAACAGACATGGGAATGAAGTTATATCTGAGCAGTAAATTGGAGGTTCTAGTTGGTAGTTGAAGAGAGCACTGCCATGACATGGTGCTTCAAGGATGCAAGTTCATGTGTTCCTAAAACTGGTTTTGCAAAACTCGTGTTATGTCAGGCTGCACTATATTGCCAGGGGGGAGAGGGGGGTTTCAGTAGTTTGTGTTTGTCTTATGGAGCTGAGAAACTGAGGTCAGCAACAGCTATTGTGTCAGCAGTGCTCAGTGTAGCTCTTGCGGGTGTTGCTTGTGCTCTGTACTACCATGTGCAGGCTCTTTGGCTCTGTTTTGTCCAGAGGCGATGATTTGAGTCAGAGCTATGGGCCCTGCTGTAGATGTGGGCTACGCTGTAGATGTCACAAGCTCTCTGTAAGGATTCAGCGTGTTTCTGCAACAGTACCCTGCTTCTGACATGCTTCACCTTCTGCAGTTGTTGCCTGCTTTCCGCTGGCAGTGATGCTTGGCAAGCTGATTTGGAGACTTCATGCTAAAACAGTGTTGTTTGTCCCTCTCTGATGCTGTGGGAATGTGTAGTACTCATCTCCATTATGTTGCATCCCCTCCCCAGTGTGGTTTGTTGCTCACTCCTCTTGCGGTGCCGCAGCTGCCTGTGTGTCTTTTCTCCTTTCAGCAGCACTGGGTAGCAGTCAGCAGCGGGATTGCTAACGTAGGAAATGTGTTGCAGTTGTAGAGCTTCTGGCTGACATTGTGCAGAACTGCGCACTGGAGGAGTCTCAAATTGAGAAGGAACGTGGTGTCATCCTTCAGGAGTTGAAAGAAATCGACAACGACCTGACAGATGTTACCTTTGATTACCTTCATGCCACTGCTTTCCAGGGGACTGCACTGGCCCGCACTGTTGAGGGGACCACAGAGAACATCAAGTGAGCAACAGGCTGGATGTGGTACACAGCCCGTAGGTTCAGTCCTTGGGGTACACGACTGCTGCTTCTCAGTAGTGGTGACTGCACGAGGAAACAGTCTATACAGACGTGATCTGTGCCCGTGGGCTTCTCATTGTGTCTTGACTGTGTTTTCCCCGTTGGTGCTAGTGAAAGCATAATGCTGCACATGTTCTTCTCTAGAATCCTCCTCACGCAAGATGTAAGGTTGGTAAGGCCAGGTTAAACCTTCTCCCGTACTTGTCAATTTGACACTGTTAGAGAAATTAAGAGCTAGGGGTGCTCATTAAAGCAGCAGCCTTGAGCATACACACCTGTTAGGGCACCGGTAGCTCAGTACTCTCTAGTCTGTATTGAAGTCTATCCTTAACTCTCCATCTTGGCCACCGTTTTGTGTTTTCTGTGTTCCGGAATTAGAGCACAGCGAAAGCACAGACAGTGCAGTCTTGCTTCTAAAAAGTATTGTTACCGTACAACTAAGAGAATCGACAACATCACTGCTGTCTCTGCACTGTGAACTTGCTTCTCCTAAGCCTCTCATCCCTCCAACTCAGAGATGCTGATATACTGGGTCTCTCTGTGTTCTTTCTAGGCATTTGACTCGAGCAGACCTAGCTTCGTATGTTGATACTCACTTCAAGGCACCTCGTATGGTCCTGGCAGCTGCTGGAGGTAAGTTCTAGATCCTTGTGACTCTGGGAAGCCTGGCTGTTTTCAAGCTGGTGATCAAACCCCTGTCACACATCTCTAATGTAAAATCATATGATTTTGTTAAATGAAGTTGTTTGAGACTGCAAATCTCTCTCTTTCCCATTGCCAGGTATTTCCCACAAAGAGCTGGTAGATGTAGCTAGGCAACACTTCAGTGGAGTGCCTTTTACATACAAAGATGATGCTGTGCCTGTCCTCCCACGCTGTCGCTTCACAGGGAGTGAGGTAAAGTTGTTCTGGTACCAAACAAAACAAGCAGCTGTTGCCAAACTGTTGAATGAATGTGAAACCAGTTATAGCTGCTTCTGAGAGAAAAAAACTGTTTGTATATCTCAGAGAAATTGTGATGCAGCATCTTAGTAGTGCCTCCGTGTTCTGTTCTTGGGGCTTATTGCCACAATGTGTTGGGTTTTAGATAGGACCCAAATCTATTAGGAAAGTGAGGCTGTTGTTCACATCATCTGCTGGAAAACTCATGTCGGAGCAGCTGGTTTCTGCTCAGTAGTGCCTGAGACTATTTCATTTCACTGGGATAACATCAAGTCCTCCAGTTTGTCAACCTGGCATTGCAGCGGGCTGCAGACAAAGCCACAGTGCTCATGCATGTCTTCCCTGCTCCTTGATGATTTTCTAGATCCGTGCCAGAGATGATGCTCTGCCCGTTGCCCATATTGCTCTTGCTGTGGAGGGGCCAGGATGGGCTGATCCAGATAATGTTGTCCTCAATGTGGCTAATGCTATCATTGGACGCTATGACCGCACGTTTGGAGGTGGCAAGGTAAGAGGCTTGTGAGCGGGAGATCCTGGAGCCTTTTAATATGAAATACTACGGAGACCCTGGGTGAATGTGCTTTATGGGAGGCTGTTGTGGTTAGCTTCCAACTGTGAAGTGGTCAGGAGTCTGGAAAGTAGGATAGAAGTGTAATCGAGGCTAATTCAGGACAGTTCTTAAGAGGTGATGCTAGGGGATGAACTGAGCCTTCTCTGCTAAGTTTGGAAGAGGTTTAGCTGATGAATTCTCAGCAGCTTATTCCTACCCTCACAAACTAACCACTCAGTGGGGGCAGTGATGGAAGGAGGACAGAGCAGTCTATAGTCTCATGATGCAAGCTTGTCTTACAACTGCAAAGCAGATGGAACTTGTTTAAAACCCCAATGTTACATCCATTCTCATCTGAAACCTGTCTGGCCTGCCTAACTGTGCTAACCTCTGCTACTGGGAGACCTTGCACTTCCCATTTTCTCCCACTCCTACAGTGGTATGCATACCAGCTTCTAATCTGCGGTTGGGAAAGGAAATGGTTTTGCTGGATGGACTCTTAGGCTATTGTCTGTGGCGTTTCCACCAGTGAATCTCATCTGTTGACCACATGAAGGGCCTAAATTAAGCTCTCCTTCAGCAAAGTGTTCCGCTCTGTCTTGTCTGTGGTCTTTGTGAAAATAGCTCAGTTGGAAAGAATTTGAGCTGTGAGGAAGCTGTAAGACTGAAATGGCTGATGGTATCTCCTTATTTACAGAATCAGTCCAGCAGGCTGGCTACGCTTGCTGTGGAGCATAATCTCTGCCACAGTTTCCAGACATTCAACACCTCTTACTCTGATACTGGCCTCTTCGGTTTCCATTTTGTTTCCGATCCTCTGTCCATAGATGATATGCTGTATTGTGCTCAGGGGGAGTGGTAAGTACAACTTCGGCAAAAGTTCCTGTTTAAGATCTGACCCTCTTGTGGGAGACTGAGCTGGTGGGCAGTGTGTTAGGTCTTCAGAGCGCTGTGTCTCTGTGTGAATTCTCAGTAACTCACATTCTGGTTAAGAGATCCTGTAAGTGGTTTCTGTAAATGTCTTGGGATGTGGCTTTTGAGGATCTATTTTAATCCCTTAGGGCTCTTCAGGTCTTTTGTTTGTGCGTCCAAGTATTAGCACTGAGGCTTTGTTGTTGGTTTTTTTTTTATATATAAGTGATATCATTCCTTAGAGACAAGGCTTTCCCAGGTGCCCAAGAGACACATCTCTGTTGTCTTGTTAAACTTGAGCAAAGCAGGCAGAGTTCCTGCCTGTTGTGTTGTGGCTGATAAATGCCCTGCTGCTGGAGTCATGACACTGTTTGGAGGCCTTCTGTCTGTCCGTCTTATTGTATACATGTATATTGCAGTAATGGTTCGAGGCTACATCTGAGATTCAGAGCTGAGCCGTGCTGTGTATGGAGCAGATGGAGTTAGCCCTTGCTCTAGAGACACTGCAGTTGGCAGGGGAGGAAGGGATTTAGCAGCTGGAGTCCAAACAGACTCTGTAGAACTGTCTTGTTCTTTCAGCATCAGTTTCCATAGCAGCTTGCCATGCGTGGGAATAGCTGACATGCCTTCCTTCTCTTGTGATAGCGTACCGCAGACTGCTTGCCGCTGTGCCTGATGGGCAAGCTAGAGCCGGCATTAGGGCTGCTTAGACCTTTGTGAGTGTAACTCGGCATGTTACCTGCTGGCTGATATCCCCTGCCTGTAAGCTTGAGCTCTTTCTCTCGCCTCCTGCTGTTCAGTGCTCCCCAGTTCTTAGCTGCTCTGCAGTGATCAAGAATGAATCTCAAGCCTGCAAGACAAGTGATGTTGATAATAGCTTATTTCTGCAGAGGCTTGGGAAAGGGAGGAAATGCTTTCTGTCTGAGCAGACAAACATTTT